CAGCAACTGGAAAAGGACTACTGAGATAAGGCTTTTTATTTGGAATGTACTTTCCCTAATCAGACCATGCTCCCTTAGGATGCTTACAGATGTCCTCTCTGACTACAGAGCAGATATTACTGCTATTCAAGAATTATGGTGGGTGGAAGTGGAGTGATCATGATTTATATTACAGCTGCCATGATGGTAAACATATATTTGGGAAAGGATTTGTTGCAAACAAGAGAATGAATGATATGGTAACAGGCTTTGAACCTCTAGGTATGAGAATGTATTATTTGAATCAGAAAAGCAGATTCTTTAATATCCGCATAATTAATGCACATGCACCAACTGAGGATAAAGAGGAGGAAGGGAACGAGGCATTTTATGAGAAGCTGGAAAGCGCATATGATAAGCGCCCAGCCAATGTATTAGGATTACAGTGGGTGACATGAATGCAAAAACTGGCAAAGAAAATATCTTGAGAAATCATGCTGGGATGCATATTTTGATTGAAAACACAAGTAAGAATGGGAGCAGACTTGTCAACTTTGCAGTTTCCAAGAATATGTTAATTGGAAGCAGTAAACTGAATCATAAAATCATTCATAAAACCACTTGCAAGTCACCGGATGGCAAAACTGATAAACAAATAGATGATTTACTTACAGATAAAAGACATTTACCAAACTGGATGGATGTTACATCACAAAGAGGCGCTAATATTGAATCAGATTTACATAAATCCAAGGAATAAAAAAAATCTAATGACAGAGGAAAGAATTATATGCTCAGAGTGAATTCTTTAAGAGAAATATGTTGTCTTGTCATGGGGGCTACTACCCAACTTTGGGTGGATAGTTCTGACAAAGCACTGGAAATGTTAAGCAGGAACCTGTCTGAAATGGAAGCACAAGGACGATTTAGTAATAACTGTACTTCTTATTAAGTACATTCACTTACTCTGTTTTCATTCCACTGACTTTCTGGAATGGCATTTAATAGCACTCCAATGCAACGTGAGTAACAGGACTGCAGCACAGGTGATCTGAATCCTTCATCAAGAGCTGATAGTACCAGAACTTGCATGAGCTTGTTAAACTTGTCTTCTGGACCGTTTTTAGAAAGTGATGGAGCTACAGAATGAATAAATTCCAAAACCTGAAAAGCAAAATCCTATTACACTACTCCAAGTTTTTCGTTTCCTAGTTTAACGATTTCGCAGTTGTTACACTGCATAGCAATGGTATTTCAACTGTAAATTATGAATTGGGAAGGACATGGGAAAGGCCAGAGACTAATCAATCATGTATAACATTCAACATTAAGGTATGCCAAAACTTGAGATAACTACAAAGAAGTTAATTCTTATACAACGACTGTGGCAACTGTTCCAATTCAAAATTTAAAATTCAATAAAAATTGCCAGACATTTTCTGCACATACAATATAACGTGTTTTGAGGCAACTGCAAGAGTCGGTAAGCAAATAAAACCAAGCCAGGTAACTACAAAAGAGGATTTTAGTATGAAAGCAAGAAAATGGGGTCCAATAAACCTGTCCTTCATTAAGGCACACACTGAATGTTCATTTTAGAGCTATCCTAGCGAACTCTTGGAAGCTGTAACAGTTTTCTGAGCCCCATCAGAAAACAAGACACTTAGAAGAAAGCCAAGATTCAGATTGTTCTAATGCAGAATGTGCATAGTGCAGTTCTGTAGATATGGCTTCCCATCTGGCTTCAACTCAAGGACAATGTGTACTTTGTATGTAAACAGGTGCATCATCATATGTGGTACCTGTAGTTCCTTGGACATGTAATGGACAGGTTTATTCAGGTGTAACACCACACAACAGAAGTCACATCAGAAAATCTGAACTCATGTAATGAAATTTTCTTTCTCTTTTTATTGTCAAAACTGTACTCTTCTAGCTGGTGATGCATGTGTGGTGATGGAGTGAAATGGGGGAGGACTAACAGGGACACACAGTGTTGCCATCATCATTTAGAACAAGCTAAATAATTAATGAAAAAATTATGGAAATCAAAATTTTATTAAAAAATGAGACTTAAGAATTTATATGAGGTGCTATCAGAAAGTTCTCGGACTGTTATTGTTGTAATTGTCTCAGTGAAGAGAGAGGAGCCTAAGGTCACACTTCTGCAAACCTATTGCATCAGTCTGCCACATGACATAGCACTATAAACATGCACTGTTTTTACACGAATGCTTTTACTTCATACTTTGTTTTGTCTGCCATGGATGGCAAATTTGAGCAATGTGTCTGCCTCAAGTTCTGTGTGAAGCACAGTAAATCCGCTACCAAAACTCTTGAAATGCTTCTTGAGGCTTTTGGAGAACATTCTTTAAGCCAGAGAGTGGTTTTTGAATGGCATTCATGTTACAAGGCCGGTTGACTGTCAGTTGAAGGTGGCAAATGTTCAAAGTGACCAAGCATCAGCAAAATGACAGAAAATGTTGACAAAATGTGATAACTCATCCATGAAGACCATCGACAAACAAACCATGAACTAGCAGACACCATTGGGATCAGATACAGAGTTTGCCAGGAGATCTTAACAGAAAATCTGAACATGAGCCACACTGCCACAAAGTTTGTTACCCGATTCTTGACAAATGATCAAAAGCAGTAGTGCGTAAACGTGTGTCTTCAGCTACAAGAGAAGGGGAACGAGGACCCAACTTTTACTTGTATTTCTAAGATCGTAACAGGTGACAAAAGTTGATTTATGGTTATGATCCAGAAACAAACGAACAATTTTCGCAGTGTAAGAGCCCATAATCACCAAGAGCATGAAAGGCAAGGCAGGTCTTTGAGTTCAACAAAGAGCATGCTTATTGTTTTTTTTGACGTGCAGGTGACTCGTCACCATGAATTTGTTCCTCCTAACACTATTGTCAACTTTGACTTTTACTGTGATGAAATGTATGATGAAAAAGACCAGAACTTTGGTGCAACCACAACTGGTGCCTTCATCATGATAATGTCCCTGACCACACGTCTCTGAAAATCACAGGTTTTTTCCCCTATCATTCCCCATCCTCCCTCCTACATTTATCCCCCTTTGATTTTGCTTTGTTTTCCAAATTGAAAATGAAACTAAAGGAACGACATTTTGAAACAGTGTCTGATATCCAAATGGAATCGTGTTACTCGACAGCATTAAGGAAAATTACTTCCATAGTGCTTTTGAAGTGTGGCAAAACAATGGGATCGCTGTATACATTCCCAAGAACACTATTTTGAAGGGGATAGCAGCCAAAAATTGAGTAAGTTATGCTAGCATTTCTTTTTTGACTTAGTCTGGGAACTTTCTGATTGCACCTCATATATAAAAATAATGATACCAACAATAAATTTAACTCTTTTTGAAGACTTTTCTGGATATCTCTGAAGTTATGTAGGCTGTATTGAAAGTCATCTGGATGTGCATTCTATATTAAAGCAAAAGTACATGTACAGAAACAGATACTGTCTTGAGTTATCGGAGATGTTTTGTGACTATTCAACAGAATCTCCAGAATGATCTAGGAATTTCTGCCAGCATTGTAAGAGCTTGAATATGCCACTGCAGTAGAGGTCTGTTTCACTATTTTGCAACCATGCACACACAGTCTGCTGGACTGCCTCATTTTTTTCATGGTGCTGGCTTCCAACGTGATCTTTTAAGTGCTTGAAAAGGTGTCAGTCTGAAGTGGCCAAGTCCAGACTGAAGGGAGGATGGGGAAGCACCTCCCAGTCAAACTCTTCAGTCTCCTCCAACATCAGATGTGTAGGTAGTGTGACAGTGTGCATTCTTGTGTTGAAGAATGATGTGTTCTTTCATTGTGCGCATGCAACAAAGTGTATGTCGCAGTTGCTGGAGCATCTTGATGTAGTGAGTTACATTGACAGCTTCTCTTCTGGGCAGGAAATCAAGTAGTATGCTCCTCTCGGTATGAAAGAAAAATCTTCCTTATGTTTTCAGCAGTTTATACATGGTTCTGGCATCCTTCTTTGGGGTCAAAATGGTGGAACCAGCTTCCATTACCAGTCACAAAGTAAAGTAGGAAGTCAGCGCCCAGCTGCATGTCACTGAAGCAATTGCAATGTCACATGTACCCTTTTGTGCTCATTCATCAGGTCAGGGAACCCAACAATAAAATTTTCTGGTATAGCATAGCCTTTATCATCTCCTGCATGGCACTGCATCCATTGCCATGCTGTGCTACAATTTTTCTAACCATTATTCTTCAGTCCTCTGTAACGAGCACATCAACTTTCTCCTCGCTGCATACTGTGGTGGCAGCTTCTTGGTCAAGCTCTGTGATGCAGACTGGCAATGTACCTGTTGTCATCTTTGAAAGTGTTTCACCCAGTGTTCATAACTGTTGGCTAAGAACAATATTTCATATACACTGTGTGGGTATGTTTATGAGATACCTCTACACCAAATTTTATGTGCCTAATGCAAATGGTTAAACCATTTCATGTTACTACATACCTTTTCAACATTGTTGTCTGGGACTCTTAGATTTGATACCAGCTTTTTTGTTAACTTCAAAGGAAAATTTCCATTCTTTCCTATACTATATACATCCAGGAATTCTGAACTTATTCCTAAAACAGACAAATGCATTTTTTATGGTTTTGAAATGCAGTAATTTAACTTTAAATGAAGCTTTAATACAGGGAATTTCTTAATTAAATTAATAACTATCAAATGTTAGCATATTATCTATCATACATTCAGTTAGTTTACTGATGAGTGAGCAAGTGAGTACTGAATTAATGCTTTACGACAGAAAGATGATTTCTCATAAATGTTTTCTTGGATTGTAGTTTCCACTCACCCCAATTTATGAAGATGATTAAGATGATGTCAAAACTGGGGTACCAGTCCCCCTTAATGCAGTACAAGGTTACTGCACAGGCATGAACAGTTCTCTCATCTCTATGCACTGACATTAACAAAAACAAGAACTGACACAATGGATGAAGAACTTCATCTGACAGGGATGGAAGCTGAAATGAAATTGAAGGTCATTTGTGTTCAGATGGATGCTTTGCAAGTAAGAAGACTGAAAAAAACTCAAAACTTTGATGTGCTTAACACAAAAAACATCATCACACTCAACTTTATAAAACATCTACTGCCCTTGAAAATATTCTCTTTATGTCTCAATGTAACTATCCCATCTTACGTAGGTTGTACCGAAAGTCATGAGCAACTTTTTTTTTTGCATGCAACCTGGGAACAGCAGATGAAAGAGAGTATGGTGGTAGGTGGAACCAGCTGTTGTATTAACCTTGAGTGTCTTGTGATGTCAATAGCTTGCATCACGTGACCAGTATCACTCCTAACAAAATGGCCAACGATATCTTGTTTCGCCAGCATGCTGTCATTGAATTTCTTGTGAAAGAGGAAATCCCTGCTGCAGAAATTCACCAGAGACTTCAGCGTGCTTATGGAAGTGTGTGCATGGGTGGGAGCAGTGTTCGAACATGGGTGAAACATTTTAAAGATGGGAACACCAGCATCGAAGATGAGCCTCAGAGCAGTAGTCCTCGAACAGCCTCAACTGAATGCAACAAGGAAAGAGTGGATGAGATCATTCAAGATGACAGGCATGTGACTGTGGACACAATAGCCTGAAAACTTTGAATAGGGCTATAGGAAAGTTTGTGCTCGTTGGGTCCCGCGGTTATTGACTGAAGACCACAAAGGTCAGTGAAAAGCCATCACCTCAGAACTGCTGCAGAGATATCAACACAAAGGCGATGATTTTTTGCTCTGTACTGTGACAGGTGATGAAAGCTGGTTTCACCACTTCGAGCCTGAAATGAAACAGCAGCGCATGGAATGGCACCATTTGCATTCTCCATCAAAAAAGAAGGCCAAGACAGTGCCATCAGCTGCAAAGGTGATAGGCAGTCTTCTGTGATGCAGAGGGGTTTATTCTGGCCGAATTCCTGGAACCTGTGATAGGCAGTCTTCTGTGATGCAGAGGGGTTTATACTGGCCGAATTCCTGAAACCTGGGCAAACCACCAATGCTGCTCGCTATGTCCAGACGCTGCACAAGCTCCGTCGTGCATTGTGCGATAAACGTCTGGGAGGAAACATCACCATCCTGCATGACAATGCTCGCCCCCATGCCGCTGGCCTCACATTGGAAGCAATTGGAAAGATGGAGTGGGAAGTTCTTCCACACCCCTCCTATAGCCCTGATCTGGCACCCTCTGACTACATCTTTTCAGATTTGTGAAGGATCAGCTGCGTGGACAACGTTTTGAGACAAGGGAGGCAATTCAGAAAGCAGTGCGTCAGCGTCTTTGGATGGCTGGAATGGAATTTTACAGAAGGGGAATTTTCAAACTCCCAGAACGCAGGGAGAAATGTGTACAAAGAAGTGGCGATTATGTGGAAAAATAAAGAAAGGTCTGTAGATTGAGGTGGTGTATTTGGTTTGTCAATAATAAAGCATGTTACTTTACAAAAAATTCTTGCTCATTACTTTCAGTATGACCCTTGTATTTGTAATCACAAAAACATGCAAAATACCTTTGATAATCTACTGACCATTAAGAGTATCTTCTGGGATATAACACTGTGTGATTCACTGAAAGTCAACTGACGTTTCGGAGGAATATGCTGCCACCTCTTCAGTGTCATAGAATAACCCAGCAAGAAACCAGCATGAGGTAGGTAGCAAGCAGAGCTTGGTTTGCTCATTGACCCTGGAGATGGAGGTGAAACATTCCTCCAAAAAGCTGCTTGACTTTAAATGGACTACATGATGTTATCTCCCAGAAGACATAAAAACCTTCATAACTACAACTGAGAGCCTCAAATCCTAGATAATGAACATACACATTAAAGTGTAGCCCATATTGGAATGTGCAGAGGGGAACTTCAGAAAACGGTTGCATCAGTGCACAGAGAATGGTGGCCACCACCTTCAAGATATTTTGTTTAAACCTACATGATTTAAAACTTTAAAGTATGTTCTTTCATTAGCTAAACATAATTTTTGTCTATCAGCAATAATTTTTCTTTTATTCGCCTTAAAAAAAGGAAGTTTCTGCGCCCCACCCTATACAAAGAAGAGTGGCTAAATTTGCAAATCATACAAATGAATTGGGTTGGAAAACTTTGGCACAGCGTAGAATGATAGCCAGATTGGGCATCATTTACAAGGCATCCACCAGGAGACTGGCTTGGAAAGCGATAGCCTGCTTAAACTATGCTACCTGAGTAGGGATGATCATAGTTGGAAAGTTAGGAGCAGGAAACAAAGAACAGATGTTGGCAAATATTCCTTTGTAAACAGGACCATAAAAGATTGGAACCGTTTACCTGCAGGCAAACTAGCGTCTTTTCCCTGTAAATTAAACATGTTTAGAAAGAGGATCAGAGAAACAGTTACAAGCAAAGAGGTTTTAAGTGGGGACTGAATGAAAATAAATGAAGTGAGCTGAGTTATAGTGAAGATGAGGATAAAGTATCACATGCCCTTGTGTCACTTTATAAATATTGAGGATACTCTAATAGTATTGCAATTACTGAGGACATTCAAATGCACTGGGATTATTATGTGTGTGTCCAGGTAAGGTGTGTACTCCTTGCTAATGTACACATTTTGATGTGCATTGTGTGTACTTTGTTTTGTATCCTTCCCTTTTTGTATAGTCTAACTCCCTTGTCTGTGTCAGCGTAAGGTCTACTTCCACCAGGTGTACACCCAATTGCAGTAAATAATAATAGTACATTTTCATAAGAGACTCACTCATTTTCTTATCAGAGAGGAACTTACATAAGGACTATAACTGAAAGCGTTCAGTCAGAACAAAGAATCTCTGGTCATGAGCCTCAAGGAGCTTGGCACCAAGATAAACTGATTGGTGGTAAACTACCAGTTGTAAAGTAACTCTGACTCTGACTCTGGGAGCAGCCACAAAGCAATGACAGTGAAGACTATAAGAGGCTGAGGCTCAGTGTGTGCTGCCATGATTTGTAAATTGTGTATCAGTGAGGCTGTTAGAATTAATTGTATTTATTAATTGTATTGTATTGAATAAACCAAATTACCAACCCAAGCCTCATGTCTAGTCAGTAACATGTAACATTATTTGGGAAGGATGGTACTGTCCCAGCAATTCATTATGGTGGGTGAAGAAAACCACATAAAATTTCAACTATGACATTTGGTATCAAAGTCAATAATTATACCTAGGACATCTGGAATACAAAATACAAAGCAGGAGTGGCAACTACTAAGCCATGACAATTCAGGAATCTTGGAAGTAATTTTGCATACATATTTTGGGTAAATGAAATGAAGAAACATGCCACTTAACTATGTCACTATCCTGAAGGGACTGCAGTGTGTCATCAAAAGTCTCAGCCAGGATATATAAGGGTTGGATAAAAAGTAGTGGCAACACTGCTGTAACATGAAAGATGTGCTTCAGGTGGCATTAGCGCCACCTGTAGTTGATAGCAGAAGTTCAGTTGAAGTAGTTCAGTGAGTGGCTCTGTTTGTGTTTCATTGAGTTGCATTGTGCATCGCCTTGAAGTGCAGGAGCCCAGTTCAAGCATCCTAACAACATGTTTACAAAATATGAACAATGCTCCTGGATAACAACTGAAGTTGCACGAGGTCGTAGTGCACAAAACTGTTATCAGGGACTATGAGAAGCATGTGGTGATGCTGCTTTGCCATATTGCACAGTGGAATGACGGATGAAATTGTTCCGTGAAGGGAGGGATGCCATTCAGGACAGCCGTCATTCAGGATGACCCCATGTTGACAACCACACAATTCAGCTTCTTGCTTCTTTGCTGGATGTCGATCGTCAATGGGCTGCGTGGGAGTTAGCAGCTAAGGCAGGCGTATGTCACAAAACTGTGCTCCAAATTCTGCATGATATTCTTGGATACCGCAAAATTGCAGCATGTTGGGTACCCCATACAATGTTCGAGGTGCAACAATGGCAATGTGATGCAATTGCACAGGACTTGTTGGACTGGTACCAGAGGGGAGGTGACGACTTCCTTGGAAGGATCGTCACTCTGGACGAAACTGGGCTCACTCATACGAACCGCAGTTGAAGTGACAATCAAATGAATGGAAGCATCCTGGCTCTCCTCGTCCAAAGAAAGTGTGCCCTACACAGAGTAATGTGAAGGCGATGTTCATTGTGGCATATGACATCGATGGAGTGATACTGCATCACACTGTACTTCAAAGACAGACAGTAAACACTGCCTACTATTGCAATTTCTTGCATAATCACATTCGTCCAGCACTCAGGAGAAAGCGACGACACTTGCTGGCAACGAACCCCATCATCCTTCATGACAATGCAAGGGCTCATACTGCTGACGCTGTCAAGGATCTCCTTTGCCGCTGGTGATGGGAGATACTGCAACATCTGCCATACTCACCTGATATGAGTCCATGCGATTATGATCTCTTTGCCATAATGAAAGAACCACTGCCAAGGGACACATTACAACACAAGATAGGAAATTATTCATGCTGTAGGGCGGTCACTGATGGACACCAACAGAAGTGGATGCACTGTTGGTGTATGACGCCTTCCACAAATTTTGCAGAAGGTGGTACACATGGGAGGCAATTATATTGAAGGAATGTAAATGTGTTTACCTCAGGTAATAAAGTCATTTCTGAACTATAGAGGTGTTGCCACTACTTTTTATCTGACCCATGTATATTCTCTAACCTGATATTCAAACCAGGGTCCTCCACAGCATGAAGCAGGAATGCTAAACCACTACCCTACAAACACTTCACCACAGAAGATAGGACAGTGACATCTGCATGCCATACCTTCAATTCATATCTGCAGATGCATTCATGGAGTTCAGGACCACTCATCTGATGCAGAGTCTGTGTGAAAGGTCCATGGGGGAGCTGAAAGTCTTTAATGTTCAAGGAATCTGAAAGGAAATATGGTTCCAGTATACACTCCCAGTATTCCATTTGCACCATTTGAGTACCTCTCAGTATTTTCCTACTTTATACAGAAAGATAGTATATAGTATTATTATGTCCTGTGTCCATGACCCCTCCTTCTAACACTTTCCTAATGATATTTTATCCACATGACAGATTTTCATAAAATGTGGTATGTACATTATGACCTTATAGGCCATCCCATTTTTGTTCTCTTTTAACATCCCATCATCAACAGCACCACTATATTTACCGTGCAAATATCTGAGGTGGGAGTGACATCTGGTATTTCAACAGACCACTAATGACTATGTAACTTCTAGTAGGATACTTTTCTGTAGAACATCAACATGGTGCAACAACTATATTTAGCCTTCAGTTTGATGGCAGTTGTTAATGAAGCAGGGATGTGAAATTCTGTATGCAGACAGATCACAAATGTCCCTGCAAATTTTGTATGATCCATTTTTAAACTTTTCAAATTATAATCGTGATAATGTTAAACTCTGATGTTATAGTTACTAAATTTAAAACAGTGAAAATCTGTACTATTTGAAAACAGACACAGACCAGTAAATTGTGTACTTTTTAGTTTATATTTTCTGGTAGTCTGACAATATAAGTGGAAGCATTTTTGGAAAGCAAGCATCATAAATTCTTCTCACACCTTTGTTTTCATTTATTTTATATTCCTTCAAACAATTTCTCAACACATATGCATGCGCACACAGACACACACACACACACAAAACTTCTGGAGGACAATGTTTTATTTGTTTCATCTTTATCTTTATGTTCATGGAGTTCACTGCATGTTGCAAGATGCAGCACCCTAGTGAGGACAGTAAATATTAACCCATGCTGAGCCATTGCTGCTTGCACATTGCAAAATTATAATCATGACATAAATCTGTTACTGACTGGATTAGCTCTGTGTTAAGACTGTCTATGCTTCCTCTCCCCTTTACTATTTTAGATCACTAAGAGGTGTGACTGACTCTTAGACTTTTTAACAATAATCTTTAAACTAGGGAGGTTATACTAGTGTTTAACTGAGACAGAAACATGCTGTTTGAAATACAGAGGCAGTAATTTACCATGCAATCACAGAGGTAATAATGCAGCATTCTTTCCTTAGGTGTGGCACTGCCTCTCGTATTAATCTAGATTCCATAATACTTCAGAATTAATTACTGTAAAAAGGTGACACAAATTTACCAAATGTTATCAGAACTACTGACCTCCTCCTGCCTTCAGGCATGGCCTGAAATACATTTACAAGTTCTCTGACATTCTTTGAAGTTCATTCTCAGGAACTGAAGCAATTATACATGTTATATCACTTGCAAAGCTTTGGCAGTGCAAGAGTTATCTTGCTGGAAACAACCCATGTTGTCTTCCTTCAGTTATCAACTGTATATGAGGAGACTTAATATACAAAGGGCACTCCGTATATAATGCCTCCTATTTTCTTGTGTTAACCTGTAATGTGTGAGCTGGATGTTGGTGGTATTGTAGTAAAGGTTGAACCTTCCCGCCA